TGCCTTGAACTTGAGGTCCTTCTGCCTCAGCCTCCCAAGTATATAGCCTTGCCTGAAAATTTTCAAAATAAAAAGATGAAGGAACACAATTCCAGCTCAAGCTCTTAGCAAACAAAACAAAACAAAACACAACACAACACCCTTAGGCTTCTGTTTTGGTAGTAACCCAGGGAAAGGTAGTAACTGTAAGATGAGAAGCGGAATTATGGCTTATTCATTTTGGTGAAGATGTTTGGCATAATGCCCAAATGGGAGTGTACTTATTATTCTCTTACAGCTAAGATTTAAAACAGAGAGTGCCTACAAGGGAAGGCGACTGTGTCTGGTTATGACTTATCTCCGTCAGATTGAAGCTTTAATCACAACATCATGGGAGCTCATACTATGTCATCCTCATTAATTCCCAACCAGAGCTTTGAGTCAGCAAGCGAAGTCTGCAGGATGTGCGCACACGGCTTGTTCCTGGGCAGTCCAGATCCATGTTACCAGGGATATCTGACACCCTTTGCCCTTTTGTTGCCGATGTCTCTGGCTTTTACACGCCAAAAGACAGCCCACGATTAGAGCAACATATATGCAAGGGTAGGTGTTCCCAGATGGTGATTGGCACCTGAAACGTGAGACTGGATTAAGAACTATGCTGAGAACTATGTGGAGACACTATCTTGGAAAAGAAAAGTAGTGCCAGTGGATAGCCCTTTCCTGTCCCTAATGAATGGGTGTATTATCCCCCACCTGCACGTGCGTGTGTCTGTATGTCCAGGTGATATCTTCATAAAAAAAGTGCAAATGGAGTTCAGGTCTTTTGAAAAGAGGACCCAGCGCTGTCTCTCATGTTTTGAAGAGGTGAGGGGGGCGGGGGCGGATTTCTTCTGTGTTTGGGGAAGCAATGAGGAAACCCAAGGGAAACAATTCCGTGTGGTGCATGAACCCATTCCCATGAATTTAAAGTAGATTTTTATCAGAGCCACCCTTCTACCTTTAGCTAAGCAGAATCCCCCAAGGGGCTTTATTGTCCCCAATGATCTGTCCCAGGACATTTTTGTGCCTCACCTCTGAGTAGAATTCAACTCTTCTGTGGCTGAGCAGTTTTCCCTCTGCCCCCTCAGGTCCCACTGTGTCAGCCCAGACCGCGACTGAGGGATGCCTAAGGGCTTGCCAACTCAGGCAAACTTCGTTACCAGAGATGATTGAGGTTTTGGGGTTTCCCCAGCCCTCCCACGCCAGGCCACTCAGCTAGCGTCAAAGAGTGCTGCAGGCAACTCTACTCTGAGCTGCAGGGACCAGGCAGAGGACCTAAAGCACCCCGAATGCTGCCTCTGTCAGCCTAGGCGAGAGCGAGTGCAGGGCGGGTTTTTCCGCCAGATACCTTGTTTTCCTGCGGCAGAAACCCGAGGCGGGCGGGCTCCTTCCACCAGACCTAACTGGCCCGCAGCAGCCATAGCCATGGAAGTTGCTGTGGCGCAGAGCGAGAGCCAAGCACTCTGCGCTGCTTTTTTTGTGGATGTGTTTTTCCTGCCTAAGTCACTTCTTTCTTCTTCCTTTGGGTAAGTGGAATCAAATAACCAACCGACGGGGAAGAATTGACTTTGTTGGAAGCTGGAAGCGGGGCGGGGAGAGAGGGAGGGGGTGTGTGGGGAGGTGGGAAGCGGGGGAGGCACACAAGGGGTTAATGTGCTAAGTAGGTTGAGGGGGGCGGTCTTGCACTTCAGTTTTGGAAGAACTGCATTTAATTTCACGTGCGCTGAATGGGGGATACTTAATTTCTTTTTGTTCCACACCCTCCTCCATAAACTCGTCTCTGAACCCATCCAGAAGCGAGAATGAGAGTGGGAGGAGGGAATGACCCAGAGGTGAGCAGCCAGTGAAAGGTAAGAGGGAAGGAATCCAGTGATTCAGTAGAGAGATAGTCCTCCAAGCCAGTGTCCAGAGCAAGACTTTAACCCAACCAGGAACTAAACACTCAGTCTGTTTCCCCAGGCCAGCAGGGTCTGCCCCAAGTCTTCCAGCCTCCCCATAACTGTCCTGATGCTCTTGGGGTGGGGAGGTCCTTCATTACCCAGAGGTCAAAATCACTTCTAAAGAAGACCTGCAACTTTGTACCCAAGGGATGCTCTGTGTTTGTTGATTGGCTGAATGGTAATGCATCAGAAGATAGCAGTTTGTTCCACGAAATGGTACTTTGGGCAGTGATAGGATTTCTTCATGTTGACTTCTGACTACAAGGAGAGCCCATTCGTTCTACAAAGGGGAGAAGGTTGGAGTGAGTGTTGGGTAGTCCAATATTAGAATCGTCATTACTCAAAAGAACCATCTGCTCAGAGTCATGGTCCTGGGCCCCAAGGTTTTGGTATAGAAACTATGGGTGTTTGGGTCAAGTACCTTGATTTCCCCTCTGTGACCTTGGGAGCATCTCTTTATCCCCCTGAGCAGAAGTCTTTCCTCTGTAAAAAGAGGCCAGGGAAGGCGTCTTCAGAGAGATGGAAGAAGCTGATGGAGGAAGAGATGAGAGAAGGTGAAGCTGCATTAAATAAGCTGCTTTGCCTCCTCACCCGGGAGGGATCTGGAGAGCAGGCGCATTTCTGTTGATTCCTCACTGATTTCCAGGGGAAGCAGGGAGGAGAGGACATAGTGAGGCTTGGAAGTGCTTGAAAGCCTCCACTCTGGGGGCTTGGGTAAGGAATTCCTATCCACACCAGAGTCTCTGAGGTTCACAACTGGGGGATGCAGACATTGAATTTGCCTTCTTTTCATGCCTTGTTCGTCCTCACAGTCCAAGGAGGGCAAGCGTGGAAACAGCCCAGAGGAGGCAGCCCTGATGCGCCTGGGGAATCCATCCAAAGGGCTGAGGAGGCAGAGAGCACTTCACCATGGTGCCAGCTTTCCTCGAACCTGGTCTGCAGAGAACTCAAGCTCCAGTTTGGGCTGTTCGTGAAGTCAGTGACAAAGCACTTCCCAGCCTGTGCCCCAGTGGATCTCCATAGAGTTTGCTTTTGGACTTAAAGACCAGGGTGTGTGTGTGTGTGTGTGTGTGTGTGTGTGTGTGTGTGTGTGTGGTGTGGGGGGATGATAAAATGACCTGAACCTCAACGAACCTCAAGGCTGTTGTATGGTTTTAGGACCACAGTTGGCAGACTTGGGAATAGGGCAGTTCTCTCTCTCTCTCTCTCTCTCTCTCTCTCTCTCTCTCTCTCTCTCTCTCTCTCTCTCTCTCTGGCAATCGCAATCAACCTGACCTTCTGTGAAGGAAAGGTTCACTTCAGTCTTATTCTTTGCCAGGTGGTCAGCACCGGGCACAGCAATGGTACACAGACGGGCTTCCGTATGTGTATTCTGCATGAGCAATGATTTTAGCAATCTTGTAGACCAGGCTACACAAGGGTACTGAGCTGAACTTCCTATCAAACACCACAGTGTGCTAATCGTACCTTTCTTTAGCAGACATTTTTTTAAGCACCTATTATGTGCAAGACTCTCTTGCTAGGCATCTCAGGGGACTTGTAAGCAGAATTCATGTTGATACCTGGGTGACTCTCTCAAGATCACCCTAGCACCTTTAGCCTTTTCTGGACACCTCGATTTTGTCATAAACCCAGTGGAGGTGAGGCGTTGCCCTAACTCTCTGAGAACATGGCTAAGGTCTTCCTGCACCCACCGTTGGTGCTGTTTCTCAAGGGTTCCCTGGGCCACCTCCTTAGCTTCTCAGAGTCGCTAAGCCTTAGCAACTCGACTTTCCCCAGGGACTCAGTCAGTGCCTCTCCCCAACCCATCTCCCTAGCCTCCAAGCATGAGCCCCAGTCCGGCTACAGGTAGCTGGGGAAGGGACCAAGCTGTGTCTGGGGAACTAGGTGCAGTGAGATAGCAGCAGATGCAAAGCGGTCCCAGAACAAAAGGCTCATGGCTGGTACTGGCCTCCTCAACTCAGTAGCGCAGTGGAGACATGGGTTCGGGACTCAGGCGAGAGAACCTCGCTGGGGATCAGGGAGTAGAGTACCAAAAATGAACTGACAGAAGAGAGAGAACAGGTTCCCGGGGTGGGAGCGGTGAAAGGAGGTCACCCTCCCAGGCCGAGGTCTGCGGTGGGGCCGCGGCAGGCCCTTTCCTCCGCCTCCTGCAGAGCCTTCCAGGCAGCCAAGCGTGTCTCCGGCTGCAACTCCACCGAGCACGCTGTGGCCGCGCCAGTAAGTAGCAGCCTAGCAGCCGCGCCCTCTGCTCGCTATCGCTGCGCAGCCCGGGGAGGACAGGTCTGCCACCGCCCAGCGTCCAGACCCGGGTGTCCGGATCCACACGCGTCCCGCTTTCTCCCCGCAGTGGCGCGGCACCTGCAGCGTGCCACGGGGAGGGTCGCCTTGGCCGCTAGCTCCCCCGGGCGCCGCGCCACCCTTCCGTCCAATGGCTTTCAGCGGGTGGAGAGTGGGGGGCGTCGCCCGGGGGCGAGGAGCCGCGGCTGGGGTGGGGCGAGTGCTCTGTGATCAGCCGAGCGAGGCTGACGTGCCCGCCCGAGCGCGCGGCCGGGTGTGTGCGCGCCTGTATGTGTGTGTATGTGTGTAGTGTGCGTGTGTGTGTGTGTGTGTAAGCGAGAGAGGGGGTACGAACACGCCTTTGGGGACCCGAGGGACTCTGCGGTGGGATTCTCTTCGGCGTCGGCCCCGTGGCTGCTCAGCTTTGGGTCTTCCTACCGCTTCTGCAGAAGCGACCCCGCTCTTTCATCCTTTCGGAACCACCCTCAGCATCCGATCTTACTTTTTCTTTCACCCACGAGGGCAGCAGCTGGCCACCTCCGTAACCGGTGCAAACACCCAAGCCAGTTGCTCAGTGCTTTCCTCAGCTAGTATTTTCCCGCTTGTCTTTCTTTGGGGCTCCCCACGAGCCACTCCAATGTTCCTCCATCCTAACAAATTATTCTGTTGGTCTGTTTAACTGAAGAGTTGTAAATCTTGAAGACTTTATTATTATTATTTTGATTCTTTTCATTTCATCCCCCGGTGGGCAACGGAGCAATGAAATTTCCAATCGAGACGCCAAGAAAGCAGGTGAACTGGGATCCTAAAGGTTGGTATTGCCTACTTCGGGCTACCCTGGCTCTCCTCCACCTGCAGGTCCCTCACTGGCAGGCGTGGATGAGCTTGCTCCCGGCAGCACGCGTCCTGTGGCTGGGAAATGCGCCTGGCAACTGCAGCGTGGGTGGGAGGAGGGCGGAGGCAGCGTGGGTTCGGAGCCCAGATAGCGCCTGTCACATAATCGTTGTCCCTCTAGGATGGTTTCACAATCTATTTAAAGATATACCAAGCTGGCTGTTTGTTTTGAAATTTCACCGAGTGTTGGTATTTGCTTTTGACTTTGTGAGTGTCCGTGTGTGTGTCCGTGTGTGTGTGTGTGTGTGTCCTTTGTTTCTGGTGATCTTTGTCTCTCTGGCAGATGGGTGGGGTGCCTCTCACCGGACCTGGAACTGCACCACACGGCCCGGGTATCCTCAAGGGGACGGGTTTCTTGGCAGCATCTGAGGCTGCGATCTGCAGTAGCGGTCCCTGGGGTGGCACTTCTCTGGTAGGGCATGTAGAATAATGGAGCCCACGGGGCCTGCCGAGTCTTTGCTCTGTCTTATTCCTAATCCTGCTCGCTAGTTTGGCTCGGGCTGTAGAAAGAGTACAGGGAGTGTCTTTCCTCCACAATGGTGGGTCTGAGAAGGGCTCACGGAGTGACCTACAGTGTACCCACTCACACAATGGCTTGGTACACTTTTAGGAAAGTGGGGTCACTTTCCCTTCCTGTAAAAGGATTAAGACAGGTGTGCGGCTGCACCACACCCCTGACCTTGACTACTGCTTCTGATGTTAATGTACAGATAGTATTACAGTTCTTAGTGACCTGTATGGGAACAGGTATGTCCAATCACCCCTTAGCTCACACACAGGCAGTCAGTGCTTGAGTGGGTCTTGGAGTTAAAATTTTGTGTGTTTAAATTTCTTTTATTTTTTAAAAGACTATGTTTTTATTTAGGCTTTGACAATTTTATACAATGTCCCGCTCAGTCCCTTCGTTTAAATTCTGTTGTGCCTATGTTTCTTCTTTTTCCCAGACTGGAACGAGGGAAGCAAGTTTTTTGTGGACTGTGTGTGTCTTATGAGCTGACTGGCTGGCAAGCGAGTGAAGAGACCTTGCCCTTCATTTTGCAAACACCCTCAGTGCAGCCCCAGCCTTCTCTTTGGGCTCCAAATCTCTGGAAATAAGAAGTGCCATTTGGCTTTTATTTTTAATTCTTGCAGGTCATATTGATTTGTCAAATACACGCTTCCCAGCAGGCACAGTCCTGGTCCTGGAAATATGGTCAGAACAGGACAGAAATATGTATCTTCTCGTTAATTTACAATGTGGGTGTCAGGTCAGAATTAGTGGCTGCAGGGAGGAGAAGCCTGTTCTGTGAGCACCGTGGGGCTTTTAGAAAGTCTGATAGGAAAGACTGAAGCTGGGTGTGGTGGTTCATGCCTGTGATGCCAGCTGAGTCAGGATTTCCATGAGTTCGAATCTAACATGGGGTTATATCGAGAGGTCCGGGTCAACCTGGGCTTCTAGCCTGTCTGAAACAAAACAAAGCAGACTGACAAAGGCCAAGGCTGAGGGAGGGGATGCTCAGGAGGGTTTTGTGAGACAATGTGCTGGCCTGACACCTAGAGTGGGAGTTAGCTGGCCAGTGAGAAGGGGATCTGCCTTCTATGGGGAACTGCAGGGCAAAGGTCGCAGAGCAGATGGACCGTGTGCATTTGACGAGCTGGAAGTAGCATCCCATGCCCAGAGAAGGGAGAAAGTAAGGAGCAGGTGCTGTGAGGTGTGGCTAGGGGGATCTACAGACTCTGGGGCCAAAGCCCTGGTGGTGGTGGTGGTGGTGGTGGTGGTGGTGGTGACAGAGTCAGGTTTGGGATCGAGATAGAGGGGTCTTTATCTTAAGCCTTGAAAAGTTTTAGCTGGAGCCATGTGATCTGAACTAAGTTTCAAAACCATTGCGATGTGATGGGACTATAGGGACCAGATACAGTGGTGCACTAACCAAGGCGGTGGCTGTGGGGATGGAGAGATGAGGGACCATTTGCTGTGCTGACCTGAAGTTCACAGGATTTGTGAAAGAAGCACCCAGGTGGGACTTCTGAAGGACTGGGAGGCGGTGGGGGCAGACCCGGTGTGGAGAAAGGAGTATGCCCACTCCAGGGTGAGATGTCCCCGGGGGGCAGGCAGTTGACTGGGAGGGGTAGGTAGCTTCTGGAATTCTGGTAGAAGGAGCATTGAGGGGCTGTCTTCCTGATGCTGGCTTTGGCTTTGGAAACTTATTTCTGTAATAGCCTCTTGTGTCCCAGTGACAAGTGCTTCTCACAAATTCCCCGTATTTCACAGTCTGACACAGGGAAGAAAAACACACGAGTAGCTTCTACAGTTACCCGGCTGCTAAAAATAAACACCTCAATAAAAATAACAGCATCTCACGAGCCAGCCCAGCGAGCCAGGTGCTTCACGTTCACGATTCCATTCAGCTGTCCCCACACTTCTCTTTTTTAACTAAAAATTTAGTCGTCGTATGAGGAATGGGTTTCCTGATGACATCTTCCTTCGTATATATCACTATACTTTGCTTATATTCATATCCTGCATCCCAGCTATCCACCCCCAGCCCTCCTCCTTCTCTCTCACTGGTCGCTCCTTCTGGTTTGCTTTCATTATTTAAAAATTTCTCTATTTTGTCCTATGTGTATGGCTGTTTTGCCTGTGTATATCTGTGTTCCACATGTACCAGTGTCCATGGAGGCCGGTAGGATAGGCGTCAGATCCTTCTTGGAGCAGGAACAACAGATGATTATCCAGTTGCCATGTGAGTGCCAGGAACTAAACCCAGGTCCTCCGGCAGAGCAGTCAGTCTCCGGGCTCCATTTTTCCAGCTCTTATTTGATGGTATGTTGCTGCTCTTTTTGACCTTTGCCAGGATACTGTGAAGCTGCCTTCCCCTGAAGAAATCCAGTCCACACCTTTGGTTTCTGAAGGCACAGATGACTACAGTCTGGCTATGAGGCAGGAGAGTGGGTGTGTCTTAGAGTTAAGTGCCAGGTATGGATGAAATACTTTACATATCAGTTTCCTTCATGTTGAGATACATCTTAGAAGGAGAGTATTATCCCGCTTTTAAAAATGAGGGGACCGAGGAAGAGAGAGGCCAAGTAACTTGCTCAGAGTTGCATGGCTAGTAGGTGGTGGGACTGGACTAGAATCTGGGCTCTTTAAGAATTCTTCTAGCCTGTGTATCATGAACAACTGGGACATTAAACTCTTGCCTGGTGAGTCTTCCATCAGCCAGGGACTGGAAGAACTCTTTGGAAGGAGGGGAAAAAAGGAAGAAAGAGAATGAAGAGGTACAGGAACTGGAAGAGGGGCGGTATGCATTCAGAGTCACCAGAATCATTTAGTGGTGCTTTCCTGCCTAGTTGGGATTTGCTTGCTGTTAAAGTATGTTAAAGGCTTTTAAGCCCCAGAAGCATCAACACAGGATGTTCGCATGGCTTAAGGCGAGTGGATCAATATAGTGTAGAAACCTCAAGGTTTGGGGGTGGAAAAGAATTAGGTTCTGGAGGCAGTTGTAGCATTTAGTAGCCGTGTGACTTCAGGCTATTCATTTAACTTCTCTAGGCCCTTTTTTCTTCCCATAGAGAGAACAGTCATTGACATGACTTTGTCTGTCTCTAGCTTTTCTCATCATACCACCCTTCAAGTTTTGATAGTTGAGTACTTTGGGCAGTGGCTTATCCTTCTCCTCTTCCCCATTTCCTCCTCCTTTTCTATAAAGGAGCAGATTGTTTTTGTCCCAGGGCCTTTGCATCTGCACTAGAGCTGCTTGTGGTGAATAGTCAGTCACATGCCTGGCTCCTTGCTCCCATTCGACTCCCAGGTCACACGTTACCTCCTTTGAAAGGGCTTTCTTGCCTATTTGAAGAACCCAGTTCCCTGTCTCTGCCAGGTTCTATAATACGTCATCTGCTTCGGGGTCTTTCTGGCACTTGTCGCTCTTTAGAGCCATCTTGCTTCCTTATACACCACATGGGATGCTAGCTTCCTTCACTAGCGTGCGAGTTTCACCAGGGCTCTTCCACATCTTGTTCATTCTTGTACTCAGTGCCACAGGAAGTGCCTGGCAAACCTTAGTCACTTAGGAGCCCGTTATTTAATGGATGAAGAATTGGATGGGTAGACGGAGATAGGAATGGGTGAAAGAGGGAGGAGAGCTAGGTAGAGAGATAGATGGATAGATGTTTGGATGGATGACAGACAAGTAGATAGGTGAGGTTGGAGGGGACCCAAGGCTCTGTGCATTATGAAATTCTAGACGCCTCTAAGTTGCAAACCGCAAAATACAAATAAGGCTAGAAGAAGACTATCTTCGATAACATGGCCCAGAACCGACACCCACATTCCTTTCCTTTCCATTTCTCAAGCCTGTAGCATGCTGCCTTCCTTTTCCCCCCTTTTCCAGGAACTGAAAGGCTATATGAGTGTGAGGTAGTAATGCCAGATGGGCGTGTCCAGCCAGCCAAAGACCTGGTCAGTATTCAGTTAATAATGGGGCTGTGGCTGTTTTCAGGCCCTTTAATACACCTGAGAAACGTGTAAAACCTCAGAACGGGAGCTGGAGTCTTTAAAAAGCCACACTTTCCGTGTAGAGTTCCAGAAAGGCCTTCTTCACCTTTGGTGTCACACTTTTCAGTTTACAGAACACTTTTAACAAATGATGTCATTTATTCTTCAAGCAACTACTTTTTGCAGATATTAGAGTTCAGTCTTACTGCTGGGAAAGCCAGGATGTTAGAAAAAGGATAAACAGCTTATTTGGGGCCTCCAAACTTCAAATAGGCAGAAGAGAGGCAGGCCCAAGCTGATGTTGGCCTCTACCAGAGCAGTTTCCCAGACTCCTCTCTTCCCTCCAGGGTCTTATCAGTTCCAAGGTCATCCCCACTTCCTACTCACTGACAAATCTCTTTGAGAGAGGGCTAGGACTCCAGCTGTGGGCTGTTTCAGCA